CTGAGGCAGTTGGGAATCTGCTGGATTCTCTGGTAATCCATGTGCTGGTGGAGCTCTGGCTTTCCTCAGTGGAACAGCTTTCAGCCTGCAGTCATCCTGGGAGCACTTCCAACCTTGGGTGCACTGTGGAACAGCTCACCTGCAGGACTCGCTGCTGAGGGAACTTTTGTCTGGTCCAGGAACTGAGTGTGTTCAATCTGAGACCATGAGCTCCCTCCATCCCCAGGGTCCTGATCCACACCCCATGGACCCACTCTAAACCCTTTCCTTGCTTTTTTCTTCCCAGAATGGATGATATGGCTGTGGACAGCGATGAAGAGGTGGACTACAGCAAAATGGATCAGGTATGTTGTCACCAGCCTTGAGAAGCAGCCAGCACAGTAGGCATTGGTACCAGCTGAGAGGATCCCACAGGAGAGCAGCAGCCCTGCAGCTGGGTGTGGAATGTGCTTGGGGTTTGCTATCAATGTGCCTGGGTCTGGGTGGGAGCTGTTGTCCTATGCTTGGGGTTTGCTATCAATGTGCCTGTGTCTGGGTGGGAACTGTTGTCCTGATGTCACTGGCACTTGACCAAGAGGTGTTGGGAGATGTGTAAGTCTGTCTCAACACTCTTCCATGGAATCTCCAGGCTGGAGCTTCTCAGGGAGAGGATCTGGAGCCAAGGCCATTGATCTGGGGCTGGTGAGAAGTTGAGCTTGTGTAGGGCTGTGTGAGAAGCCCTGGCCAGCAGCAACTGAGGAGCTGCTCTGAGCTGTTCTCTTTCTGCAGGGTAACAAGAAGGGGCCTCTGGGCCGCTGGGACTTCGACACACAGGAGGAGTACAGCGAGTATATGAACAACAAGGAGGCTCTGCCCAAGTGAGTGCAGCACTCAGGAAGGGCAGGCTGAGTGAGGATTTGGGGCGGGGAGTGGCCATGCTGGCCAAACTTGGGTGCTAGGAGAGCTTAAACCAAGAGTTGGGGTTCTGGGCCTGGGACTTCTCTTTGCTTTTAGCATCACTCTTGAGGGCTCCAGCCCAGCTGCTGCTTTCAGGGGCCTGGGCCAGCTCTGGGGTACAGATTTGTGGCTGGGGAGACATGTCCCTTCTCTGCAGGCTGTGGATCCCCTGTGAGCACTGAGCTCTGTCTTGCTCCCTTCCCAGGGCTGCCTTCCAGTATGGGATCAAGATGTCTGAGGGACGCAAAACTCGTCGCTTCAAGGAGACGAATGACAAGGCAGAGCTGGACAGGCAGTGGAAGAAGATCAGTGCAGTGAGTGCCTCATACTGGGGTGTCCTCTGTTGAGGCCATGAGCTGCCAGCATGGCCTAGGACAGCTCTCACCTAGTCCTGCCCTCGCTGTCCTAGTCATGGCTCTTTGGTCAGCCATGAGCAGCTGGTGTGTTTGTGCAGTAGGGTTGGCTTTCTAGCAGCTGGATTTGCTCCTTGCAAGAACATCAGCCAAGTATTTAGGGCTTTAGGACTGCAGAGGCATCTGGAGCTGCATTTGGAGATGTTGCCCTGGGAGCAGCCCCAGTAAGGAGCTTTCTGCTCCAGGCTATGCAGCAGATGAACGTGCCTGAAACCAGCAGCTTGGAGCCATCCACAGGGGCTTGGAGGGGACAGGGCATTTTTGGTGGGTCCCTCTTTGCCAGCTAGCAGAGATGGGGGTTGTCCTGGCAGGGTGAACTGGCCTTGGGCACCCCAACAGCACAGGATGGGCTGGGGGAGGTGAGAACAAATGGTCTGTGGTGGCCAAAAAGGAGTAAAAGGGGAGCAAGTTTCTCCAACTGGGCCTCGCTCCAGTTTGCTGCGGCTGCAGCTCTCCCAGGGTGTTCCTTGCACCCTTCAGCCCCTCTGCTGAGGTTGTGAACATTCAGAGCCCCTGAGGGTAATGAGACTTTGTGCTTTCTCTGCAGATCATTGAGAAGAGGAAGAAGTTGGAGGCTGATGGGTTAGTAGAGTTGTCTGTGCTCATGGCTTGGCTGCAGGGGCCCTGTTGGGGCCCCACCACCATTCTGTGGGGTGAAGCTCTGGCCCCTGGTGCTCAGCTCTGGCTGGGAGGGTGACAGAGCTGCCTGACCTGCATCCTTACCACTCTCCTGCCCCTCTCTCTCTTCCAGGGTTGAGGTGAAACGTCCCAAGTACTGATGTCTCTGGTATCTCCTCCTCCTGCTCCTGGAAGCCTGTCTTGCTGGGTGCTGAATGTGCTGGTGTGCTCTCCTTGCCCCACACACCATCCACTTTCTGCTCTGGGCTGGGGGGCTTTTCTCTCCCTTGTGTTTGCTGTAGAGCCTGTGCTGTGTAAATGTTCTAGTCTTAATAAAGCCACATTATATTTGTGTGACCCCATCTTGGTGTGGGCAGAGAAGGTGCATAGGACGGGCTTGGGGGCTCCTTTTCCACCCCCAGGTGCTCTTGGGGCTGGCAGGGCAAGCCCTGGTTAAGGGTGTTTGTTGTTGGAACCCTTAGGGGTGGGGGTCAACACCCCTGGGTAAAATTTACACATTAAGCATACATGGGGGTAATATTTCCAGTTGAGCAGCCTGTGCCTCAGTGCAGGGGGAGGAAATGGGACCCTCACAGGGGTACAGCAAGGAGAATGGCTGGAAGCAG